TACAGTTGAACATGGTCCACCAATGCGAGCGCATTGTAAACCAAAACAACAAATTGCTACGTTTCAGCTACAACGGCATGGCATAAATTAGTATGGGCAAAGTATTTATGATTTGTAGTCAAATGAGTTTTATAATTGCAAAACTCGAGTTGGTAAATTAATTTTAATCGGATTCCCATTTTACGAGTCTGGTTGTAACTGGTGAATTGTCGACGTGGTTGCGTTAATTTCCATCCCGGTTAACACAAAACTGCATTCGGTAATCGGAATGGAACTGACCCACTTTCATTTGGTCGGGCCGATTGGAGTTAGACTTTTGTGTTTTGAGGAAATTCGCATTACATGCGCGTTGCAGTTGCGTTGTGTGTAAATTACCATTTACATGTAAATAAAAACGTACGGAATCACAATTCAAATCTCACGCAATAATTTTAATCATACCATCATAACACCATAGACGCTACACGAACGATAACATACTCGTTCAATTCCATTCAGCTTCAGATACGAGCTTGAACGCACTTTTGAACGAAAAATCAAGTGAATTGACGCGAATGTAAACTTCAATTCGGATATATTGTCAAGCGGTACACGTGATGGCCGACGGCGCTGCTAGTTTTGGCCATTTAGAACTCATTGTCAGTAAAAAATAGAATTGTTGCACTATAGCTGTGGTCCATCATACATTATGCACATGTACTGATCGTGTATATGCAGTGGTATACATATTGCATGTATTCGCTACCGCACGGGATCAATCTATTCGTGTGTTTAGTTTTGAAACTTTTAGTTCATACAATGTGATACAAAATGTTTTAAACTTCTTTAAAACAGGTGCAACCAAATGATGGCGAATATCAGCTCAAGCAATGCTATTTACAATTTGTAATTGTATCAATGAAGAACTGTATTGCTGATGAAAGGACGCCGTACATGGTGCAAACCATACAATTCGTTTTTGTTTCACCAAAGAGCACACTCTACACATAAATGTGCATTTAAATAGAATTCTTAAAATAAACACATTATTATCCGGTGGTATATCACGAAGGAGATAACTCTTGGAAGAAATTCACACGGAAGTGTTAATTTAAATTTTAAAAAAGCTAGAAGAATTTATCTATTTGCAAATTGACTGGAATTCGTACAATCAGCCTTTCTGATCATGAAAATAGTGAACAATGCAGCGGCACCTGGGGACTAAGTGCAACGTGTCATACTTTCAACGTTTGAATTCCACAGACGCACTTACACAGACGCAGACTTGTTACAGCATACTATGTGCATGATTCTCTATTTCCCCAACCAGTCGCCAGGTGCCGCTTTATTGTTTTTGTTTGACGTTTCCTATCTGTTTGTACAGACAATCAGAGAGGCTGCGTACAATTCGCATGCGTTTCGACTTCAAATCCGTTGAAATATTTTACGACATGAATTCGATTTATATTTTTCTATATCTACACCACATACAGGCTTGCCACTAGTAGGCTATTTCGGCTATTTTAAAAATCGTAGCTAGAGTCGGCTTTTTCGTCAAAAATCAGCTATTCAATTTTTTGATGGAAATTGAAAGAAATAGGGATGCTAGAACGCAAAGTAACCAACATGAATAATCAAAATAAGTTGGAAATGAAAGAAAAACAGTTTTTGACTATACCGATGAATGCGTTTGACTCATCTTGCAAACAGATAATAATAGCCCGCTATAGAATGAATTGTTCACTAGCATAGCAAAGATTTCTGAATTTCTTTGAAACTGTCAAAAATCAATGCATATAACGATTCGAATAAAAATCAGTATTCTAAGCGAAATTTCATATGATTGAGTTTAGTTGTCTATCCGGAATGAGTTCAAAGATAAGAAAATTCTGTCCAGACCGGCTCGATCAGTTCAGTTTGATACCAGACGTTATCCACGCCTATAAAATTAGTGCGAAGAACTATAGAGATTTTAGAAAGGTTGGTAAAGATCGTGCAAAATTTCTAATCTATTATTTTGACAGATTCAAAGATCTCCGAAAACATTCGAACACTTTTAGCCTATCCAACGGGTGGTTTGATGACAAAAATGTTCAGCTTAAATTTTTTTTTTATCCACAACAGCAAATTCGAAGTATTTCTGTGTAATCAGCCACAGTTAATGTTAAAAATAAAGGGTATAGTGCACTAACGCAGCATATGGAAACTGATGCATGAATTGCTTATGTTAAAAGACATAAAGGATTATTAACGATGAAATCATTAAAGTGAGATTGTTTCTTATCATTCATCAAAAAACAAAACAAAACTGTAGACATGATTCATCATTGCGTAAATTTGTTAAATAACACACAAAAAAACAGCAAACAAAAGGTCAACAAACTAGTTTGCATTGATATTTTGGCGTTTTATTGGTAAGCTATTTTTGTAGCTATTGGAGTCAAAATTTCAGCTTTTTCAGCTATATTTTTTTCAAAATTGAGTGGCAAGCCTGCACATTCAAATAGAGGATATACAAAACATTTCAAATGAGTATGGTGTGAATTTGACAAAGACCAATTCCGACGTTTTTTCAAAAGACAAATAGGATAAAACAAACGAATATTTAGAGAAGAGAAGACCCGAATTAATCTGTACACAGCGTCAATACTTCCGCGATTTATCCCTTAGTCCTTTTCAATTTCCGCCATTTCTCTCTCACTCGGCTCTTTAGTTTTTGATAGAAAAATAAATTACATAATACGTAGAAAAAAGTGTTCCGTATTTTCACAAATATTACCAAGAACGTGTACAGCACTCTATCAATGAGCAACTATGTGGTGTTGGTTCGTTTCATTCGTTCAATGGTTCCAAATACATTCAATTATTGAATTTTGCCATTTCATTGTTATCATCCGATTTCCGTTCACACAATTTTCTATTTCCGTTTCGCTGTTCACTGCTCTTCCTTTTCAATCATTTGAGTTCTTTGTCGTGTATTTTGTTTGGTATTTTCCTTTCATTTACAGAATGAGAAAAAGACCCAGAAAAAAAGTGTGAGCTGCAAAATATTCAATTGAAAATGGTGTTGGTTGTGCTGAATGAAATGGTGGCCGAAAACAATTTTTTTTCAGAAAATTCGAAGAAAAAACATGAACTTCGATGCTGGGTAACCAATACCAATTGGAAATCTACATAACATTTTGTGTAAAAAATGTATTCAAGAGAAAATAGAGGAAGAGAAGCATTGTTCTATTTAACGTTTGAACAAGAAATAGTGAAACGATAACCACAAACCAGTTAAAGAGGAAAATATAAAGACACGCTTTTTATTATTATTATTATTCAATAATATAAATTTTCAACCAGGAAAACGGAACGGAAATTAAGTCCAATGTAAAACAGTCTTCTCGTTTTTTATACGTCTCTTCTTTTTTTTTATACTCTTTCTCACGTTTCTCATTTTCGTTTATCGCTCGCAATTGAATAGTAGCAAAAATTTTCTTTGTCCTTTTTTTCGCCCCTATCATTATCGAAAACGTGAAAATTGTGCTCCATGCTTTTGCAACAGAGTTTCTTGAACTCGCCAATTCGTTGGCTCTCGATTCGTTACGTTGGAAAATTTCAAAATGTAGCACACAAAAACCGTATAAGCATGCATAGCATTGATATCGTCCACTGAAGATATAAGTTAGCGCGAACAAAGTTTTCCGCTCTTTATTATATATCATCAATGGACGTATTTCGGACGACGGTTTAATGTGCGGTATTATCTAATGAAAAATGATATTAAATTTGTCCCATTTTATTTCGAGACTGACACTATTTAACATGCTAACTTTTGGTGTGGCTCACTCAAAATATGCGTAACGAAAAATCGTACAAAAATTCGCATCGTAATCGATCCACATTAAGAAATTTACAGTGGACAGTTCCTATTATTGAAGTGAAACTTCAGACTTAGAAGTTATGACGAAGTGTGTATGTTCCTTTTCGTAAGAATTTTGTCAAGTTTACTTAAAAATTAGGACATCGATTAACATTCTTCCAACGATGAATGAGCAAATTGGTTGTTCATTAAAAGACAATAATTACCTCTAATGAGCAGCGCTCGTCGAGCAACTTTCAGCTTCGTTACTTCTATTACTAAGTCAATAGGTATGCTTGCAACTTGTGTGCACTTATAGTTCTATAAAAAAATAAATCGGAATGAGAGAGAGCAACCAATTTCTTTTCATCCTTTAGGAGGATGATGATTTCCATGTGGACAATCAAATTCAGCTGAAAATCGGGAGAAAAAATCTTGAATTCATACGTCATATTGGATGTGGTCCTTTTGTGTGTATAATCTGCTTGTGTTATCGCAATATTGAAATTCGCAGTTCTTAATAAGGACTCCATATCACTGAATTTGCATTGTATCTAATTGCGACGTCACCAATATCTCGGAAATTAATTTGAATGAAAAGCATGAAAAAAGTTGGAGAAACGAAACAATATGATTTCATATTAATGGATCTGTATCACATTGTTTCGTTTTTCCAACAATGGCCAAAGGATTCATTCAAAATGAAACTGCAGAGGAAAAAATTCTATAAAAGCGGAACAATGACTGAAATACGCTTAGTGGAACAGATTTCAGTGATACGGATTCTTTGTTTGATGTTCCATTTTAATGGATTTCGAAAAAATTCTTTATTTCGGTTCCAACTCGATACATTGGATGAAAAAAAAAACTCAATTTCATTACAACAAAATCAACTTGCCGAATTTCCAAGAAATGTTCACGTGAATTCCATACGGTCGCGAGAGAATTTCGTTGATTTTTCATATTTCAATCTGTGTACAAACATCATTTTAATTAATGCTTTATATAATAATCCATAATTTTGAGCGGTGACAATAAAATGCATTGAATGCATATGCATATGCATATGCACTTAATATCAATTTAATCTTAATTGTTATTATTATTAGTAAATTTTATTGAATTAATTGAATGTTTCTCTCTCTCTCTCTCTCATTTTTAAAACCGCTTTTAGGTTCGAATGGATGGACATTGCTTTATCTCAGCGCTGCTCTATGCGCTCATTGGTTTCGATACATTGATTTCGAAGCCAATGCTTGTGCATGCACTATCATTGCCATCATCATCATTTTCGTCATCGTTACTGAGCCCACTATCACCCGTCACAGGCGATAATCAACAGCAGCATGACAGAGCGACCAACAATGGTAATAAAAGTCGATCCAGCAACAATGCAAATAACAATATACCGATGTCAAAACCGAAACTAATGTGCAAAATATCCGAGTGGAAATGCCCGAATGGAACCTGCATATCACTATCAAAATATTGCAATGGCATTCCGGACTGTGCGGATAAAAGTGATGAACCAGATGAATGTAGCGGTGAGTAGCATTTACAATAGATAATTTTAGTATTATTGCTTTGGTGTTCAAGAATGAACCTTTTTTTTCAGGCGATAACTCATTAAGAGATTTGTTGCTTTATTTGAAATTAGAATCAATTGTCGTGATTTTATTGAGAAAAAAAAGAAAAAAGCAGTACGAAGTGTTCATACATAATCTGAATAGAAGCTTGGCAAGAGACTAGAAAAGAATATCACGTCACAGCTGCATATCAACGCCATCTACTGAAGATATCGTTGGTGTGTACAAGTCTCGAAGCTTGGCCATTTTGAGATCGAAAATTCCATTCAAAATCTTGAGACATGTTTATCTTGAGGTAAATCATAAGGAAATTTTCGATTTTTTTTTCTGCGTTCGAAACGATTTCAACCTTGCCTCTTCGTTTCTGTCGCTTGTATAAAAGTGAGATGCATCAAGTTGAAGTTAAGTACTTCACAGTCAAACACAATATTGCCATGTCGACATATTTTCCTCCGTATGTGTGTTTAATGCCATCAAATAGCGACGAAGACGGAACAGGCTATAGATTGAAGGAAAATTTACTTATAAACATACCCAGATTGTGTCACACTGTGGTGGCATAAATGCATCGACGGAAAGACGCTTGATATATCAAAGTTCATTGAGGCAGAAGAATTGATTTTCCAAAACATTACTCTTTTATTATTTTTTTTCCCTCATATTTTTATCTCGTACACACTTGGTGTTTCTTTTGTGCCGACACATTTTCCAGTCGCATCTCTAAAAGCTGAAAAAGCTTACAGTTTTGTATAAATATTGGTTTGGGTCACATGTTGTTAGAAAAATTTTCCAAAGTCAAACAGTCTGAGGGAAAACTTTACTTTGTTGACATTGAGAGCAAGTACACATGGTAATTTCAATATCGAATATGTTGATTCACCGGTTCACCAAATGCATTTCAGCAATGTTGAAATTACGAATGAAGATTTGGTCTACGGGAATGATTCTATTATAAATTTCAAATATTCCATTGTTTTCCATATATGCACAGCAAACTTCATAGACACTGTCTATACACGACTGTCGTGTATATATTGTCTATTAGACAGTTAGGCCACTTGTGCAAACGCACAACACACTTTGCATATATTCAAATCTATTTGGGCGATGACGCCATAAAAATAAACCAAAATATTCAAATACTTGGCAAGCAATTAGCTCAAGTGTTTGCTAATCTATCTCTGGCATTCTGACAGCGACATATGAGAGATTTGTTTCTGCAATGATTTTATTGAATCAAACCTTTCTCTCGAATCCATTCGAAATTGTGTCGAAAGCGAACACAAAGCATGTGATATCAATTATATGAAAAAATTCTTCCAACTAATGAGCGATGTAAAAGCTTCGAAAGTACTTGGGGTGATTTCGTCACTCGCACCTGCTGTCGCCGACTGTGATAATCCGTAAATTTGTGTTGAAGAGAGTTTAATTCCATTATTTTAAAAATGTTGAGAATAAAAAAGCTAGATACAATAAAAATCAACAGATAAATTCAGGCTTTAATTGCAATCTAATGTTCTTGCATGCTTCTCTGGTTTTTTTTTTGAGTCCTGATTTTGCTCTTCGACTTTCCAAAATGATTGTGTTTGCGTCAGGTTATGACACGTAAAACGTGGATGCGATGCAGAAGTTAATGGACGTTGAGTTGTTTTGTCTGCCTTGTGTAGCTTGATTGGTGCTTTGTTTCATAATTTTCGCAACCCGCAAAATGAGATGCGTTTGAGTGAAGGGCGAGAAGCAGAGGCGAACGGAGCAGATGATAATCAAAAGTTTTCATTTAATCAAATCAAACTGTCTTCCTGTCTTCCCTTTACATCGTGAAACTTGTTGTATCGCATTTTACTTGCGCGTGTAAGTGCATTGTTCAACTTTTCCTCAACATCTCTGCCCGTCTGCCTGCCTGCCTGCCTGTCGCTCTATCACACAAACTTTGAGCAGAACTTTACTTTTATCTCCTTTTACTGCCGCTTTTAAGCATTTTTTTTTTTTTGAAAACACAAAATCGTTTATGTTGACTTCTTCATCGCTGTGTCAACAAAGTGACGAAGCATTTCAACTATTTCAACACTTTATGAACACATGAGAATATTCGTGATCAGCGAAATTCCGTTTGCTCCAAAATGTGTCATGCATTCGCTCGAAATGAAAAAGATTCAAGGAAAATGTGAGATTAAAAATGTCTTTTCAATCAAGCTTTTGGGACTTTTTTATTTTCACCTTATTCATGCGACTATTTTAATTCATACAAATGCATGAGACATTTGGGAACAAATTAAACCTCGCAGATCGCGATTATACTCGTGCGCTTATATACAAAAACATACACATACATGTACCGAAAGAACAGCTTTTACTTCCTAATCATACCGCCATCTGCTCTTGTTTCGCATCAAATCTCTTGAATTTTTGGGTGATTGATTAAAAACTGGTAAACTAGAATATTACGAGCTGCGAATTGTACGTTGACATGACGTCATTTAAAATTGAACTTACAATTATGTAGAAAGCAGACGAATTTCAGTTTAAAGATTATGTAAGAGGTAAACTCAAGTCTGATGCGCCACAATACACTTCTGTATACATCCCGCTAAGCAACACAAATAAAAGTTTAAGTAGCAAAAGCAAGCACACCGAAGAAAGAAAGAAAGAGAGAGAGAGAGAGAGAGAGAGAGGGAGAGAGAGAGAGAGAGAGAGTTTGAGTGTATGTGAAAACTTTAAACAAATGAAATCGTTAAATTGGATGGCATACACATAAAAGCACCTCAACAATAACAATAATAACCATTTCCACTCGAAAAAATGTCACGTAGCAAAAGTTGTTACTCTTTCCACCATTTCTCACACCATTCGCCTGTATTGGTACTAGGCACTTAACAGCCTCCTATTCTTTCTTCATCGTTTCTCTCGCTCTCGCTCTCCCTTCGTGCGCTGCGATTCGAAATCAAGTGAACAGTCTAGATTGGTCTGGAATTGGTGAAAAATATTTGTATTAACCCTTAACTGCATAATTCTTCTACAGAATTGGCATTTTTCTCTATTTGATTTTGAGCAAAATTATTCATCTCGAAAAAACCGTTTTTCCTGATATTTTGGACATGCGATACCACATCTACGGAGATGTTTCACCGTGTTTGCCATTTTTAGCAGAATTTGTATATCTCAAAAGGCGGCCATATGGAGTTGAAGGTTAATCACAGCATATCTTGAACATTGTACCACTCATTAGGTTTCTATGGGGCTAGGCCAAAAAAAAAAAAATACACACGCACACACAGAGCTAACTTGAATATAAAATATTCCAGGAACGGTTATGAAAAAATTTGCCGACAATTTTCAAAATTTATTCAGGTCCTATCGCAAATAATATCACACCGTTTGATGCTATTGGTTACGCTTCATTCTAAGAAAAACTACACGATCAACATGAATCTGAGTTCACATCCCGTGAATCGATGCATCGTCTTTCTGATTGTATTCTATTTTTATGATAATATGATACATTGAAAAACGATTTGGCGAAACGGCGTGAATAACCGGAAAAAACATACAATTGAACTGCAAGAGCAGAGGGATGGGCAAAAACGTGATAATTTTGGTTTTTCATCGAAAAGGATAGTTCTTTATCAAATTCATAGGCGCAATCATTCTCCTCACTTAAAGTGTGTCTGTATATTTTAAAGTAATAACAGAAGCGAAATAGCAGCCGAAATCAATAAAAACATAGTTTAAGTGAGTGCTGTGTTGTTTTTTAGACATTGGATAAATGGTATACGTGAATGGATTTACCATCTCTACAGTAGAATATATTGTCTATCTTGCAATACTGCGGAGGAAACTATATAAAAAAGAACTGTGTAGCGGTACGAATATTATTTGGAAAAGTAAGGGACATATACTATTCCAATTTTACACACAAAAAAAAATATAGGAGTCGATACGATTAAGACGCCTCTCTTACCCGCTTGTTTGTACAGTCGGTAAAACTTGAACGTAAAGTAAGAGGCCAAACTAATCACAGACTTTTGCTATCGTGCGCAAAGGTTCTAATAATAATTTGTTTTACGCTTAATTCAAAAAGCTACTCGCAGCCATAAAAAAACCCTATAAAGTTATAGGCCATAATTTCTCATCGAGCGGCATTAGTAGTTACGAGTTTCATAAAAAAAAAAAATCGAGCAAAACGACGAGCAAAAATTCACGCGTATCAAAAACTGAATTGCTCTAAGCGATTTCATGCATAAACATTCAATGAGTTTTTTGTTTGTTTGTTTGTTTGTGGTGATGTATTTTCCGTATAGAGCATCTTAGCCGCCATCAAATGTTTTACTCGTGGTACGGTGAAAAGTTTGTGTTTAAAAAAAAAAAATTCAACTTTTATTTGTTGGTCATAAGTTTTAATGGTCGCCCGTATATCTGTAGCAAAGCACATATTGGTCCTCCTTGTGCTATTGGCTATAAATGCCTATTGCTTAAGCCAATTGTCAGATTTGCTTCCATTACGAATGCCATTCGCATTATTTATGTGGTCAATGGTTGTGACTGAAAATAAGCTATTAAACAAAAGCTCACCCATATTTTCCGTAGCCCCGTTCGTCTAAATGATGTTTTCTAAAGGAAAAATTTCCGATTTATTAACACGTGAAACCGTAAAAAGTATTTTACAATTTGATGCATTTTCAGTTTTTTGGCTGTTTAATGATTCAATTATGTTTATTTTTACAGCTTTAAACCTTAATCTCTTTTGTACATTGAAATTCAATTCAAACATTACCACGTCAAGCGTCATTATTTTCTTTTTTTCTTCTGAAAGTATTTCTTCGAACGATGAATTTCCCCCTTTGATTATTTTGTCATCTTTTTGACAATTTTTTTTCTCCCCAAATGCCATTGCTTGCACAATCCGAACATTTTATTCTTTCGGCTGCGAAGTTTTTCCATTATCGACATTTCATGAACGA